CAATCACTCGGGTGACCTCTGCAATGCAAAACACATCTTCTGGAATCGATTGACTCTGGCACTGAGGTCATTGGGTGACTTCGGCAGCCAAAATTCGTCCCCTGTGTGGGAACACATCACCTCCAAACACTCTTGATTGATGCTGAGAGGTGCTTGGTTCAAAGGCAAGGTAATGTGAGCAGATTAGTTAATGCTTCTTGCCCTGGCCCTTGAGAGCAGGGCTGGAATGACGGGGCAGACAATGGGTTTTGAAGGCTTTTCTTTTTAAGATATGAATCAATGAAGCTGTACGAGGAGCATGGGTAATGTGATCAGAATAAGAATCACGGCTTGTCTTTGAACCAGAGCAAAGTCCCTGATGGTGTTTACTTCAGGTCCTGGCACCAAATGGGAGATGAAATGAATATATTAGCTTACTGGCTTTTCCTGAGCAACCCCTGCCATGCTCAGACCAGCTTCAGGAAGGAAAAGAGCAGCAAAGAGAATCAGTTTGGAAATGTCAACTTGTTTCCCAATATCCCTGTCACTCTCGCTCACCACTGGAGGGTCTGGCTGTGACAGGGGCTGTGCTCCAGGGGGGAAGAGCTGGGCACAGGGGGTGAAGGGGAGGGTGGTGACCCTGGAGCCTGTTCAGGATCTGGGGAAATGTACCAGCTGCTTACTGCCTTGTTCAGGAAGCCCTGTGGTGCTGGATCTGTCATTTGCTTCCCGAGTGTCTCTTGCTTCATCTCTCCCAGTTGCATCACAAGGATGCAGTTTCTTCAAATCCCAGTGCGGAGCTGGGAGTTTCTGCAACATTCCTACTCCAGGAACAGGTTAATCTGGGTTGGAAGTGCTCTCCAAGGTTGTCTTGGCAGTGTCTCAACCTGCCCTGCCCTACCCTGCCCTGCCCTGTGCTGACAGAGAGCCCTGGGCAGCACCAGCCCCTCTCCCAAGGGCTCCTTCCTTCCTGTGGCCCTGGATTTCCTAATCCTTGGGGGTTTTTAGATTGTGTGGGTTGGTAGGGATTTTTGGGGGAGGAAACCAGAAAAGCTGTCACAAGGTTTAAGGTCATGGGGAGGTTGTGCCGTGTCCATCACACCCTGCCTGCTGCTGCCAAGGGTCTTCAGCCCATACTCCCTTCCCAGGCATCACCTCAGTGCTGCTGCTGTCCCAGTGCCAGTGCCCAGATGTGTGTGCATCCCACACCTCCCTGTTCAGTTCAGCCTGCTGAACTGAGGCCGGAGTGGCCACAGGGTTTGTGGTCCCCTCTGGGAGCTGGGGGCTTGGGGCAGGGTCCCACTGGAAGGTGGCTCCTCAGCCACATTTGCTGGACTGGGAGCCCAGAGCAGAGGAACCCTGTTCCATGTAAGAAGGAGCATCTGGGCTGGTTTGGTTTAAGAACATTCCCCATCAGTTAGGAATGTCTGCTCCGGGCTTTGCCCCTTGCCACAGCCCAGGTATCCCAGAGCTGGGAGGGGACAGCAGCTCCTGTCATTGTCACTTTTCTGGCACATCTCTTCCCAGCCAAGCTGAAGACATGGAACTGGGGAAATCCCCATTTCTCAGTACGTCAGTTCTTTCCGAGGAAATTGGTGACGAAGCCTTCCAGCAATGTGGACAATGACTGATTAAACTGGGATCACCCCCAAACTGGGATGGAGATTCAGGCAGCAATCCAAGCCCAGCTGGGTCTGGGGGGCTCCTGCTGCCTGCAGCCCCTTTTGGCCTCCAGCCTGACCCTGCAGATAAGGCTCAGGCCACAGGTTCTGCTGGCACAGAGCTGGAGCATCAGGATTGCACACGGGTCTCCTGGGATCAGAGAAGCTGGGGGAAGGAAACCTGCAATAAGCACAGAGCATTTGTACAGGCTTTAGGCTAAATCCTTCCTTCCCTGGGTAGCAGCACTGCCAAGCTGTTTCCTGAAGCCTTGTTATTCCTTTTCAGGCTGGGACACTGCAGCTGCCAGCAGGGCTGGATTAGGAAAGGGGAGAGAGGCCTGGGCTGCTGAGGGCATTGCTGGGTGAGCTGGGCTGGCAACCAGAGGCTTTGCTGCAGCAAAGGTCAGGGTGACAATCCAATATCTCCGGGTCAGTAGTCCAGAATGGCTCTGGGAGGAGAATAAAGGAGGAACCGGTGCCCTCAGCCTTATTCCACTCAGAATCCCAGGGCTGTTCCTGTTCTGGACAGGTTGGTGCTTTGAGGGTCTGGAGGAGGGATCCTCACTGCACCCCTGGAGTCCCACCAGCACCAGAGCCTTGGGGCAGCTCCTGCAGCTCCTTCCCAAAGCACTCCCTGATGGATCTCATGAGGTGTCTGTCAGAAGGTCCCAGGGAGCTGCCATTGCAAGGGACACAGGTGGCCTGTTATTTTGCAGGAACCAAATGACAAGGCTGTCCCCATGCACCAGGAAGGGTGGACTCAGACCCAAAGGTCTGGATTTGGTGTCTGCCTTCACCCCAGAGACAGTGGAGAAGTCAAAGGTGGGGATCTGCTATCATCCACATCCCACACGCTGTGGAGCTGAAGTCTTGGGTTTTTTGCCTTTACCTCCCACTCAAGGATTAGGAGCCAAGTACATTTCTCATTGCACCCAGCACATGGGAGGAGGAGAGGCAATGTGGGAGGGCACGGGAGGAGTGGGAGAAGCCATCGGCAGGTGGGCACAGACCCCTCAGGAACATGGCATGCCACAAGCAGAGGCTTGGAGGGCCTGGAAGCCATCCTCACCCTCTGCAGGGATGGAGGATGGCTTGAACGAACAGTCGATCTCTTCCTGCCGTGCAGAAGCTCTGGAGAAGCAGGCTCAGGCTCAGCAGGGACAAGGCACCACAGTGTCACGCCATCGTGAGGTCAGGTCCACAGGAAGGAGCTGGAAAGCAGGAGGGCTGTGATGAGAGGAGAGGGATCAGGGTGTGAATCAGGATCTGAGAGAGATGGATTGATTTCTTCAGTACGGATTATGCGGCCTGACCCCATCTCAGTGTCTGCGCTGGCCGTGGGGACCGAGGTCTCTGTCCCCCTCCCTGAGCCCCAGGGGCCTGGACTGCCCTGTCTGAGCAGCAGGCACCGTGCTGAGCTCCCCTCGGGGAGCACTGGTGTCAAGGCAGCATCTTTCTCCTTCTGGAACAAGTCTCCTCCTAACCCCAAGCCCTTGAGAGCACCAGTCATGGGAAACCATGGAAACGGGTGGCAGGCACGTGACAGCGTGTGCCTGCACTCCTGCCCTTGATTTATGTCCCACGTCTGGGACCAGGCGCAGAAATGCAGAGCTGTTGGCATCATTTGGGATTTTGAGGCGGTGGAGAATCAGCCCTGCTTTACTCCCCACCTCCTTTTGGGGAGCAGGATGGCACATGGGAACGGGCTGGCCTCCAGCCGGGGCCAGACATGAGAAGGAGGCAGAAACCCAGAAAAGGCTGGGGGATTTCTCACTTTTCTAGTGTTTCTAATGTTTTCTAATATTTTAATACTTCTAAATTCAGACTTTTGAGCCCAGACATTTTGACTCCTGGTGCCAGGGAGTGAGGAAAAGCACCTGCTGCACCTGGGCATCACGTGCCAGGCTCTGAGCCTGGGGTGGACTAAGACACCAGGTACAAAAGCTCAAAGATTTCTTTTCTTTAAACAAACAGCAAGTGATAACCAACGCTCGACCCAGATTATCTCCCCACTGCTCACACTGGTCAATATTTGATTTTTCCCCTTTTTGAAAGCGCTTGCACTACATTGCAATTTTGCTCTGGGTTTAAGCTAAGTCTAAAGCACCTTTTACCCTGCCCCTCAGGGGAAGGTGATAAGCTCAGCTGTGCCATGCCCAGCCCAGAGGGGTTTCTCTGCTGCTCGGTGACCACCTGGGGACACTGTAGTTAATGTTTGAGCTGGGGCTCATGGCTGCTCCTCCCAGGGGCTAATGGGCAGAAGGCAAATGCAAACTTGGTGAAAATCTGATGATTCAGCAGCTGCTGGTGGTGTTCTTGAGCGATTCCTGACCTGTGGCAGGGTCGGGTTGGCCACACTGCTCTGCTGTCACCCTGGTGGCTCCAGCAGCTCGCAGCCAAGGGGCTCAGGGTTGTGTGGGGCTCCGGGTCTGTCCCAGGACGTGTTCCCCGAGGGACCCACAGGGAGGGATCTGTGGGCAGCATGTTCCCCACCAGCTCTCCTTAGCTCTGCAAGAGCAAATTTGCTGACACCACCAGTGTGGGGAGGTGGCCAAGGCTGCTTTGGAGGAGAAATACAGCAAAAACGCCTCGACAGCTCCTCAACAACAAATCTCCAGCCCCTCAAGGGGCTCAGCCACCTCTCAAGGCTGTCAGAGCAGCACCCGCAGCCCGTCTGTCCGTCTGTCCGTCCGCTCCTCTGTGATCCCCCCCGGACCACTCGCGGTTATTACAAGCCTCCGTAGGATTTTCCTGCTCTCTGTGCCGTGGGTTTAACATGCCGGATTGCCGGGGAGCCGGGAATGGCATTTGGGTAAAAAGCAGCCCCGAAAGCACACCCACCAAGGCGCCGCCAGGAGCAGCCGACAGTAACACCTTCATTTCAGAGTGCCTTAGCCCTGGGTGCCTTTCAGCTGGGTCCTGCCACGAGAAGGGAGAGCAAATTCTCAGCGTTAAAGAGGTCCCTGTGGGACAGACCGTGATCTTTTTTAGGGGGCAGAGAGACTCTCGCAGTGGGGAAACCTCGTGCTCCCCTCTCCACCCAAGAATTGGAGGTGAGAGGTCTGTCCTCCCAAACATCACCTCCTGCAAAATCAGGGAGTGCGAAGAGCAGAGCCGGGGCAGAAGTCGGCGCAGCCAGAGGTTGGGCTAACTTTAACTCAGCACTCTGGATTCTGAATTTCCTCCGAGCTGTTTACAAAGGGCTGGAAAAAAAACTTCAAGCACTACCTCCCCCCCTCGCCAGCCCCGTCCTGATGTTGCCCAGAACATCTCTCTCATCCCTCCCTTTCAGGGAGAAAAAAAAAAAAAAAAAAA